TGGTGGCGCTAGTAGTCACTTGTGGTCCTCGCGGACCCATGAGTTTAGCCAGCTGATCGGCCAAATCTGGTAGCCTTAGTATGCATATGGTAGCTAGTAGTAGACGAATATTTCTAGTTGGCAATATAAAAACCAGAAAGAATGTATGCCCAAATGATTCTCAAATCGTGTCAGTAAGTTGTTTAAGAAGTAACAAATTAAATAAAACCGCTGCTACACATCATACAATGATGAAAATCAGCCTTTGAAGAAAAATCGGTAATAAATATTAGAACTACATAGAAGAAACTGACCCATGTCTACAGATAAACTAAAAGCGACGAACTTGACGCAGGCTGCGAAGACTCGTTGACGGAAGATCCCGGAGAGTTCAGAGAGAAGTTGGTGTCTGGATGTTAGACGTTTTTTATATTAAATGGTTTGATTTTCGGCGCTGGTAGTGATTTTCAGCGATGGACGAAGAATTTCGATACCAGGCATACCTGTGTCTGAGCTGAAGAGTGCTCTGGCAAGGCTAAAGGCATCAACTAAGGGCAGAAAACCTGACCCCGTCGACAGGTAACTACCCGATGTTTTTTTTTAAATTACCAGTGATACTTAAACAATAGTAATATTATATAAAACAGCTTAAGAGTTAGGCACTAAAAGCTTAAAATTTTTGTTGGTGAATGCCACCACAACACTGGCAAAATCTCAATTCCACAGGTTAGTGAAGCTGCGGAGGTCGCAGCATGAGCATCCAGAGGAGATGGACAACATGGACACAGACTCTGTGGCTTGGCCACCTGCTGCAACATTTGCATCAGTCAACGCAGATGTACCATGCAAGAACATCACCAGCGAACAGGTGGCTGCCTACCTCGAGCTCCACAACCAGTCAGTCAGCCGATTGTCGAAGGTGACAAAGTCTTCTAAGGGCATGCTGGAAAGGGGATTTGTACGCACTTGCCAATATGTTGTGAAGGGGGAGCATCTCTTCTTCAAGGCTGTAGTTTAGCCAGAGATGAAAAGGACTGTGTTGTACAATATTGAAGCAAGGGTCACAGATGAAGAGATCAGATATACAAGGTGTGAGTGTGCTGCGGGTAATGGCCCACATGGTATCTGCAAGCATGTCTCAGCTGTTCTTATGATGATAACCCACTTTGGCGAGGAAGGTCAGTGGCTTTTAGAGACGTCGTGTACCGAGCTGCCCCAGCAGTGGCATCGCAGGGGGAAGGGACGCATACTGGCACCAGATGACCCTGTGCCCATGGAACGCTGCCAGAAACGTGGGTCTAGCATGCTATATGACCCAAGGCCATTGCACCTGAGGGGAAACAGCGACATCAAAAGGCAGCGCCTCTCCATGCATGTAATCGGATTCTGTTCCGAGAAGGCCGAAAAGCTGGCTATCTGTGGGATGCTGGGAGGAGAGGTGAATGTGCCTGCCCTTCAGCAAGACCATGACTACTTGGAGGAGCCACTCGCTCAGCAGTGGGTGGTTAACATGATCTCATTATCAAAAGATGAGATCTGTGGTGTGGAGGAGCGCACTAGAGGCCAAGCACATTCAAAAGAGTGGGCTGAACAGAGGAGGGTGCGGCTCACTGCATCATCAGCTGGCCGCATCTGCAGGGCAAAGTCTGCAGAGCTGACCAGCCTCCCAACACATCTGTACGAGCAGCCACCGCTGAAAACGGCTGCAGTCATCTGGGGAAAGAAAAATGAAAGGAAAGCTCTAGCAGCTTATACAGCCAAAACCGGTATCCCAAAGAAGTAAATAATGACTTAGAAATTGTTTGCCGTGGTTGTCATTGGTGCTTTGAATTATTTCATTACCACTACTACGCTCTGCTTCACAGCTGTCTGCCAGACAAAAATGAAAATGCGGAGGCAAGAAGTCGCGAGCACCATATCTAAAGCGTGCGGTGACGCGAGGGCAGTCGCGAAGAGGAAAGAGGCCAAACACGTCGACGTGGCGGCTGGCAGTGGCGAGAACGGACGCCCATGAGCCCTCCTCGCCTGAGAGACACGTGTCTACCGAGGACCTCATCGCCGAGGACCCAGAAGCCGGCTTCAAGGCCACGCCAGCCGCCCCTCAGGCCCCGCAGGCCTCGCCCTCTGCGCTCAGCGACCTCTCAGGTGCTGCCACTCACGACCCCGACCCCGCCCCAAGGCCGTCCCGCCTCTCGCGGCACTCCAGTAGCTCCGCCGAGAGCCTCAGCAGCGCCCACTCAGAGGCCGATACTGTGTCCCTGCAGTGCGGGCGCAGATGGCGGCGAGGCGACGAGCCTACACTCGGCTATCAGAGACGTGCACGCTCGTGCCCATCACCCAGGGATAAGGCGCACGCTACAATCCTCGCGCCGTGATGTTTCTCCGACAGTGACCCGGAAGGACGCGCGTGCGGTGGTGACACAGTGTGATGTGTGCAGATCCATTGACCCGGCGCCGGTGAAGTGGCGACACGGCGTACTCAGCGTCAAGGAGACATGGTCCCGTCTGGCCATTGACATCACTCATTTCCGAGGACCAAATGTCTCATCCAAAAGATCTGGCTCGGCAGATGGGACTGGGACGAGGCCATCAGCGACAGAGAACTCCTCGCTCAGTGGCACAGTTGGCAGCTGGAGCTGAACGACATGGACTGTGTACGAGTGGGCCGCTGTTATCGCCCCGATGACAGAGCGGTCGTAAACTGTCAGCTGCACGTGTTCGGTGACGCCTCTGAGCTTGCGTTCGGTGTGGCGAAACATCAAGAGATATTACCCGCCCGTGGGGATATCACCCGGCTGATCGCCGCCGACCGACACAGGACGCTCGCCCACGCCGGGACGGAACACGTCCTGACTCACCTGAGACAACAATACTGGATCATCTGCAGCAGAGCGACCGTGAAACGAATCACGCGCGCCTGCATGCCCTGTCGAAAAAGGTCAGCGCAGCCGGTGCCACCACAGATGGGTGACCTGCCAGCCTTCTGTGTGAGCGAGCCAGCGCCAGCGTTCACGCGAGTGGGTGTGGACTTCTTCGGACCAATGACCGTCAAGAAACACCGAAAACGAGAGAAACGGTACGGGTGTCTCTTCACGTGCCTGTCCACCCGAGCGGTCCACATCGAGATCGCCCACTCACTGGACACAGACTCGTTGATCATGGCCATGAGACGCATGATGGCCAGACGAGGCAAGGTCAAACTCGTGTGCTCCGACAACGGCACAAATCTCCGCGCCGGCGAGCGTGAGCTGCGGCAGGCGCTCCAGCAATGGAACCAGTCCAAGATCGCGGACACGCTGTCACAGGAAGGGGTTGAGTGGCTATTCAACCCGCCGGCCGCTCCGCACTTTGGTGGCGTGTTCGAGCGCCTGGTGCGGTCAGCCAAATGCGCTCTGACAGCCGTGCTGGGCGACAGGGCCGTTGACGACGAGACGCTACGGACGGTGACAGAGGTCGAGGCTCTCCTGAACGGACGTCCGCTGCCACGTCCGCACCGATCCCGACGACTACCAGCCGCTGACGCCGAACCACTTCCCCTCATCGGACGAGCCGCCCCTCAGCTGCCGCCCGGTGTCTTCACTGACGGTGACATGTGCAGCCCACGGCGCTGGAAACACACTCAGGTGCTGCTGCATCACTTCTGGTGTAACAGTCAGACACAAAATCTATTTTTTTATGCAATTTTGTAGAATACCATTTTCATTTTTTATCAGCAAGCTGAAACGCAATTGCTCTCCTCCTCACGCGCCAGTCCAGGCCTGCACGGTGCTGGGCCCAGTCGAGTGTGAGTCATCTATTAGTATAATGCAGCGGTCACCGCCGGCCGCCGGCACCGTACGCCGGCGCGCTGCCGCTCGGGTGTGTCGCCGACACACCCTAGGCAAATATACAATTCACGCGCCTGCGGGCGCCGGAGGTATCCGAAATGTTATTTGACTATTAAGCAGTGTCAGTCCCTGCGCGGACTAGAGAGCTCTGGTGGCTATCGGAGCCAAGACTGCCAGATGGAAAAGAACTGGAGTGGGCGTAATCGGGCAGAGGACACTCTGTACTGGATTGAACTGGTAACGAGTGGCTCGGCCCGGGTGCGTACACACTCCGTTCCGTACCGGGGAGGGCAGTCTGCGACGGGGCTCCGAGGCACGCACTTGTACTCCGGGAGAAGGTTAGCCGCTGTTCGCTCTCATCTGATTGCCGCCGCCAACCCGAACTGCCAATACATCAACGGGCCGACTTCACTCTGACTCTGTTCGGGGAGGTGGGCGAGCTGCAACATCAACAACATCAGAAGGGAGAGAAACTAGTATTGGTGCCGTGACCCGGATCAGGACTTCATCGACATCTGATGTCCTCGCCACCTCGGAGCCCCAGACTCAGCATCACCATACCAATTCCGCCGCATCAACCCCAAGATCGAAACCAAGGTATATAAAAACACTAGGTAACACCGAAAAATTCCTTCAACATGAAGGCAACGGGTTCAGGTCTTGACAACTAGTGCTAGCATGATTTGCAAGATACTTGCTACGTAACTACTTTACAGATTTTCCTAATACTTTGCTATTACTTATGTTTCGCGATTTAATAAAGACATATTTTTAGTTATCCTCATTAAAATTCGTTCTTGCCAAGAAATTTGTAATTTCACGGTATGACATCATGCCTTCAGGAAGCCTCGGATATCTCAGTATCTAGGCAGTGAACCTACTTAATTCTGATGTTTTTAGAAATGAAATTGATTTTTGCATTCTCTTGATATGAACTTTTTGGAAAACAACAGAAAAACATTAAATTATCGCTTTTCAAAGTGCCATTTTGTGCTTGATAAGAAGTGATGGCCCTTAGACAGAGCGTTCCTATAAAAAATCTAGAGTGAGCTGGCCTCTATAAAAATTAAAATTAGCACCAGTATTTAATTGTCTGTTAGATGTTAATTTTCATTAAGCTTAAGGTTCTACGGAAAAAGGCGAAATTCGCCCCTAAAGGCTTCAATGTGTGAATGAAAAAAGGCACTATGGTAAAGAGGTAGTTGAAAAATGGGAGGGAGCTGGCCTCTACAAGTTGTTGATTGAGATAGATTAGCGTATTGACTTTCGATTGATATACCTCATTAAGCATATGGTTTTACGGAAAATGGCTAAATTTGTCGAAAACTATCTCGTTTTTGTTATAAACCGTATATTAGAAATGGCGACGTGCGCCACTTCCGTCGCCGACGCCATTTGGACGCCATGTTGCCCGAGATTTGAGCGCTTGTACGCCTTGGCTTCTAAATTTCAAGATGAATATTGACGGCAGAAGACGGCGTTGTGCATATGGGGGGCACGCACTGATTTCAAGTGAGTCGGAAGTGCCAAAATTGAACAAGATTGGTTCCAAGTACGTTTCGAAGTCCGTCATTCAGGCCCTGGGAATGGGTGACCCTGGCAAGCTTGCTGGACGATACCTGTGTCATAAGTGTATTTCCTATGGCAGGTCGCAGATGAAAATTGTTCAGGTGAGATTACTTGACTGATGTGTTGGCTCATAGCTGGGCTCTCCATTGATGTTTGCAGTGTGAATTTACTCTTGTGCTGTGCAGATTCACAGGAATTTGTATCAGTCTGGGAGGTTTGGTCAATCAGTCATTTTTATCATATGCTATTTTTGTCACATGTGCTAAAAATGACAACGATTCTGCTATTTTTGGGAGCGATCCAGTCTGCAAAACGTGGCAGGGTTCGACAAGATCTGGTTGGGGCAGACACATGCTGCGTTCGGATGGGCGGTTTCGTTTTTTCATCGGGGATCAGGTACTCTCTTTGCAGACGTCACCCGAGCTGCCATATCTATGTCTCACTTGCGCAACAATTGTCTTTTCATGGTTAAATATATAACAAAACATATCTAACCTGACCTTACCTTACCTACAACCTACAACCTACCAACCTACAACCTAACCTACCAACCTACAACCTAACCTACCAACCTACCTAACTGGATATGGCAGCTCGGGTGATGTCTGCTAAGAGAATCCCAGGGAATATTCCTCAGACCGTTTGGGCAGGCTTCTACGGAGAGTGCGCAAAAACTGTAGCCACTAGGTATATCTCACTCTGCATTTTGGGTCCGCGCTACTTGGAGATACTCCTTAGTCCTTTCTAGCCTAACCAGTTACCAAACCAAATCAAATCAAACAAAACCAAACCAAACCAAACCAAACCTGACCTAATCAAACTCATAAATAAAGCTGGTCCTGTAGCTCAGTCGGTAGAGCGTTGGACTCCGCGAGGTGAGAGCTCGTGTCCCGGTATGACGGTCCGGGTTCGAAGCGCGACGGGCGCTCGATGTTTATGAGCCTCCTGGCGGGTATGGTTGCGGTTGGTGGCAGGCCGTAGCCAGGCGAAGTCAGTGAGGGGACCGGCCGTGCGCGGCTATGTGCGTAGTTAAACTTCTGACTCTAAATTCTGCCATGCACCAGGAATTGCACGATCGGAGGGTAGAGGGCAGAGCCATCGCAACGAGCTCTGCTTAGCGGTGGCTCTGTCCTTGAGAATCCTTCCATTCAAAAGGTTCGGACTAAATTTATAAAAAATAAATGTGCCTCCTTATAATCCTTATGATGGTTGCCGTCCGGCCAAATGATAACTATTACGTACCTAATAATTACCTAATACCTAATGATTACTTTGCTTTCTTTCAACATCAATTAATGACTATTTTGTTTTCTTCCAGGAGAGCCAGCGCCATTCCGGATCTGAAAATGCTCTGCATGTCAGCATTGTCTGGTGAGGATTACCAGCAACTGATAAGCACTTGGTAGTGCTGCCAATGTTTGCCATTGATAGTGTTTATATCATAGAGCTTTGCCTTTCACTGTCAATTGTTGATTTCTTTATTTGGGACACATTTCTATGCTTTGCCATCTGATCTTTTTGGCCCCCCTTTCAGACATACTATGCTACCCAGTAGGTACCCTTATGGAATGGTTATGTATCTTACCCAGTCACTAGTCAGTAAGGTCCTTTCCACATATCTGGAAGTAATCTAAATCCTTTCACTTCTGCACATGCAGGGGTCACCCTGTTGCTCACTTGTTTTACAGCCCTATCCTGATTTGCCATCTTTTTGGCCACCTTTCAGACATACTATGCTACCCAGTACCCTAATGAAAGTGTGGTCAAAAATATTGCAAATCAGGATAGGGCTGTAAACAAACGAGCGACAGGCTGACCCCTGCAGAGTCCTTGTTGGAAGCTGGAACTAACTGAACTCAATTAGTACAAGACATGGAAGACATCAAATAAATAACAAATGAGTATGAAATGTATTTCATTATCCATTGATATTTATTTAGACAACTTAATAAATGACGTTGAATGAAAGAATTATGACATTTCATACTCACTCGTTATTTATTTCGAGACCTTCACCTTTGACATCTTTGTTAAAGGGACCCTCCCACCTTAACATTAGATTTGAGTTGAGATAGCCAAAATGGGGTCCCTGGCTCACAATTACTGGTTTGAGCACTCACAACATCGAGAAATGCCTCAAATCGAAAATATCTAATTTCAAAGTTGCAGCACTTTGGATTCAGAGGGGCTAATGCATTTGATACCCCTCTGAATGTGTGACGTCAGCGCGCAGATCTAACGATTTTTAAATGTTTTGACTAAAACGTTTGATAGCATGCGGTGGTATATGCTGCTTTGCGCGCAGCAAGTGCCGCACTTTCAGCTGCCAAACTATTGCTTCCAAATAAAGTCGCTAGGAACAGCGGAGATCCCAAAAAGTAAACAAAAGTAAAAGTCTAATATCTTGAAAACCGGTGAATATTTTTCAGTGAAATTTGGTAGATATTCTTTTTCGCTTTTTCTGAACCGAGCGACATCACTGTCATGCCAATTCATTAACTTTTTTGAAGGTGGGAGGGTAATTTTGTGTACATTTGCAAATATGTTTTAATCCATTTTCCTCCTTTCACAGGAGATTGCAATATCCTAATCAATCACTACCCTCTAATGACCAACGGGTATATGCTCAGCACATCATCATATCACCGTTCCACACACCATCACATTACAAACATCATCACGCACCAATTAGTATGCGTTTCTGCTCTGAAATGGGTACATTTCAATGCTGTTCACAACCATTAAATCACATGTTCAATCCACTCCTGTTCGTCTCCTCAGTCACCCGGAGACCTTGACCTACTCCTGGTCCTCTACGCCCGCCAGCGCCGCTTCGTCTGCGGTGCCGACCAGCGCCGCTTCGTCTGCGGCCCCCGCCAGCGCCGCTTCGTCTGCGGCCCCCGCCAGCGCCGCTTCGTCTGCGGTGCCGACCAGCGCCGCTTCGTCTGCGGTGCCGACCAGCGCCGCTTCGTCTGCGGCCCCCGCCAGCGCCGCTTCGTCTGCGGTGCCGACCAGCGCCGCTTCGTCTGCGGCCCCCGCCAGCGCCGCTTCGTCTGCGGTCCCCGCCAGCGCCGCTTCGTCTGCGGTGCCGACCAGCGCCGCTTCGTCTGCGGTGCCGACCAGCGCCGCTTCGTCTGCGGTGCCGACCAGCGCCGCTTCGTCTGCGGCCCCCGCCAGCGCCGCTTCGTCTGCGGTCCCCGCCAGCGCCGCTTCGTCTGCGGTGCCGACCAGCGCAGCTTCGTCTGCGGTCCCCGCCAGCGCCGCTTCGTCTGCGGTGCCGACCAGCGCCCTTCTGCATGGTACCTCGCCTGATGTAGCCACGCAGGGCGGAGAGTGGAGGTGAGCTATTACTGATTAGTTTTGTCCAGGTAAATTCAGAAATATCATGTTCATGCCACATCATCAGAGTCGCCTCACCAATCAACATAATATTTTCAGGGATGAGGGTCCAGGGGACCCATTTGTATTTGTTCTCACTTCTCACCTTGTTTCTTTGTTGAATCTGTATCCCTTAGTCTCTTTACAAACCAAACTATGTACTTTTTCATGGATAGAATTGCTATATGCCATGGGATGTACAAAAATGCAACTTTGTGCCTAGCTCTAGGCTAATAAGAAGTGTATTTCATTAAAATATCATGTTTTGTTTGTATGTTGAATGGTTTGCATATGAAGATAATTTCCAGCGGCTGCTAATATGTTATGCAGCCCTCTCCTTTAAGTGACCATCCCACCTTAGCATTAGTTTCAGTTGAGATAGCAAGATTGGGGTCCCTGGCGTGCAATTACCGGTTTGGGTACTCACAACATCGAAAAATGCTTCAAATCGAAAATATTTGATCTCAAAGTTGCAGCACTTGGATTCAGAAGGGCTAATGTTTTTGAATGTCCCCCTCTGAATGTGTGACGTCAGCGCAGATCTGACGATTTTAAAATATTTTACTAAAACGTTTGGTAACACCTGGTGATATATGCTGCATTGCGCGCAACATCTGCCGCACTTTAAGCATGCCAAATTAGGTATTGCTTCCAAATGACGTCGTAGGAACAGCGGAGGTCCCAAAAAGTAAAAAGTAATACAGCAGCTGGTCACAGCTGGACCAGTGGCGTGTGTTACATACACGCGCTTAGACAATGTGTACACCCTTCCTAAATCTGGTTGGTTTCTTTTCAGGGGATTGTGTTTATCTATTGGTCATCATGCATCAGCAGTGTGCGTCCATCTTGTGCTCCACTGACCTAGGCGCAGTTCCATGCTGTTCATTGCCATGCAGTCCCATGTTCAATCCACTCCTGTTCGTCTCCTCAGTCACCCGGAGACCTTGGCCTACTCCTGGTCCTCTACGCCCGCCAGCGCCTCTTCGTCTGCGGCCCCCGCCAGCGCCGCTTCGTCTGCGGTCCCCGCCAGCGCCGCTTCGTCTGCGGTGCCGACCAGCGCCCTTCTGCATGGTACCTCGCCTGATGTAGCCACGCAGGGCGGAGAGTGGGAGGTGCTATTACTGATTAGTTTTGTCCAGGTAAATTTAGAGTAATCATACACTCACTTTCTGTCTTTTTGTTATTTTTGTCATTGTGTCAGACAACTTCACCGATAACACTGATACAATTATTTTTAGGGAACCTGCTTCTTGTGTCTCAACTTGTTTCTTTGTTGAATCATTTCTCCATCATTATCTTTCTGGACCCATTTATATGATTTTTTTCTGAAACTGGATTGCTCTATTCCATTGAGTGTACCTATTGCAATGCAACTTTGTGCTACATAACTCAGCTGTAGGGTGATACTTGTGCAGTTCATTATCTGGATGTCATGTGCCGTTGTATATTGTCTGCAGGTGATGAATATCTTCCAGCGACCAGTTTTATTAGATGCGACGATCCTCTCTCTCTCTCTCTCTCCCCTCCTTCTCTCTTCTCTCTCCTCCCTCTCTCTCTCCC